AGGAAAGCAACCTCACAGCCAAGCTAACCAAAGTAAAAAAAAAATTGCAAAGATTAACAACCAAAGCCCCTCCCCCCCAAAAAAAAGTAATAATAATGATTATAAAATAATGGCAGTATGCGGGTGAAAACTCTACACTTCAACCACACAAAAAAAAAAAGACCAAATCACGATTTCGCCGATCCGGATTGTTTCCCAACACAGCCTTAAAAAGTTTGTCTGTGTAGTTTTCGACATGCCCATAAAAAGTAGATCAGAGCGTAAGAACGAGGAGGAGGGGGAGGCCGGTTTTCCACTTGGAGATGCTTATTAGTTGAAAACACGCCGCTGAAGCCGGCACTTGTTACGTTTTGGGCCGAGGCGCAGCCGCGGCCGCCCTCCGGACGGACGTCCGCCTGCCTCCAAAGCCGAAGCTCGGCTCCGAGTCATGCGTCTCCGTCACATTAGACGAACTTCACAGGCCGGCGAGTAATGAAGTCACGGGGGAGGCAAAGTCTGACACCAGAAGGATGAGGACGACGGCGGGTATCAACGGATCCGAACAGCAGCCCGCTTTATGCTACACATACACACACACACACACACACACAAAAAACCCTCCAAACTTCCACTCGAGAGAGAAAGAAAAGATGAAGGACGGCAGGCTTGCTGTTAAGTTGAAAACGTTTCAACTTGGTGCCCCGAGCGCAACCCCCCCGCCCCCTCAAAAAAAGAGCGCAACCTAATAGCAAGTGGTCGATTAAAAAGGCAAAAATTCGGCACGGCGGTCTCACACACACACACACACACACACACACACACACGAGCTTTTTGGCTGAAACGAAACCGTTTGATCCAGAAGCCCGCCCATCATCCCGACGCCAGTTGAACACAATCACCAAATGTAGCAAAGGAATTGAAAAATGGGCCCAATGTCATGATTGCATGATTTCATGGGGGGGGGGAAAGATTGTTGTACAGAAGCCAACGACGGATGGTATGGACAAGTGCCTTTCGCCTTTTGCCCGTCTTTCTGCAAAAGGCTTTCAAAATCCTCCCAAAATAGGGCAATGGTCTGATGTTGACTGATGCAAAAAGATGAAAAGAAAAAAACCCACCATGGCCACTCCCAAAGTTTTGCTTTTTGCACACATGCAGCCCGCGCCTCAAATAGCACGAGAGCGTTTGGCTTCAATCGATTTGACTTATCGGTGGATGTTTTTGTTCGATCTTCCATCGTGTCTGTTCGCTTCCGGCGCGGTCGGCTTTTGTGTCACTTTGTTTCGGTCTCCGTTCGCTCCCAGCACAGTTCGCAACCATCCCAGTTGGCTTGTTGGTCACTTTGCTTGGCTTTCGGCTTTGAGCGCAGTTCGCCCGTGACCCAAATAGCAGGTCGCCATGAAGTAGTTGTCGATCATTTGGCCTTCTCCGGTGTTCACTTGGATCTCTGTTATCTTTCAGCACAGTGAGCTGCGCCTTGCGAATGCACCAAAAACAGGTTGTGGAAATGAAATCAAAGGAATGAAAGCCATCTTGAGATTGTGGTGACACTGTCAGCCGACGCGCGCCCCCTTTGCTCCTTTCACCCTCATGAAATATTGAAAGTGACAGCGCTGTTTTTTTTCCTCACGGAGGTGAACCTGACCCACTTGGCTAAAAACCAGCACCGGTGTATGCGCGTGTGTGTGTATGTGCGTGCGAAGACACCCGGGGCGGTGGGGGGGGGGGGGTGGTTCAGAATGTGTGACAATCCTGCAGCACTCCTGCCTTCCTCATGCACCCCTGGCGCCTCCCCCCTCCAGTCGTCTCCTTCACTGACTTCCTCTCCCTTCGCCGCGGCCTCCTCCGCTGGACCCTCCCAGCATGTCATGTTGGAAAATGCCCTCCCCTATTCTCCGTCTTCTTATTTGGCGAATGACAAAAAAAATAAATAAATAAAATCTTCTCCTTTCAGAGTCGAGCGTCTTCTTCCCCGAGGCCGTGCTGTCGGTGGAGGAGGACGCGGGGCATTTGTTGGTCCCCGTCCATCGCGGCGGCGACGTCAGCAAGGAGCTGACGGTGCTCTGCTACACGCGGCAGGGTAGGGACGCTTCATCCCTCACCTCGACGCACATGACCAGGCAGCATTCGCTCAGGAAACATTTCGTTGTTGCCATATTGTCTCCAAATAAAGTGCTCGACTTTGAATAGAAATCAGGAGGTGTGTTGCCCGCTTGAATAAATCAATACCTCACCCCAAATAAACACCGGGTGGGGGCTGCCATGTAGGTGACCGCAAATTCACCAAAGCGTCTGAGCGAAGGCGGGCGGGGCTGCGATTTTTGCCTTAAAAGCCACGGAAAGGTCACTCGCCTTCACAATGAGCAGATTAGCAAAGCACCTCGTTAGCGCGGCTCCCCTCGTTAAGCGTGACATTTTGTTGTCGGCGCACTCCTGCGCTCATCATCGGTCGATGGAGATTAGATGAGGCCGTCTGTCGTGCGGACGTTTTCCCTTCATGTTGTCGCCGCATTTTTCCATCTCGCCGATGCCGGAAAACATCCAAACGCAACTCGTGTGAAGTTCATCTGACGTTGCAATGAATCGAACATACGTCTTGAAAGTGTAAAGAAATACTTTTCAACTCCTTCCTGATTGTGTATGTCTCCCCCCCTCCCCCGTCTCTTCGGGTCCGCCACGGGCACAGCGCCCACCGCCGCCCTGTCCCACTCGGACTTTGTCGCCCGTCCGGAGGAGCCCGCCAGCGTGCTTCGTTTCGACAAGGGCGAGCGGGAGAAGGCGTGCCGCGTGCGGATAATCGACGACTCGCTGTACGAGCCCCCCGAGAGCTTCAACGTCACCTTGGCCTCGCCCGTGGGGGGCCGCCTGGGCCCGCGCTACCCCTCCGCTCGAGTCACCATCCTGGAGGATCGAGATGACGGTAACGCATGGGCCACGTCTCGCTCGCTCTGCTTTCCTCTCAAAGAACGAACGAACCTGCTGTAAAATTGAATTTAAAAGCCTGCAGGCAGGAGAGAGATGTTGACGACAAAAAAAAAAAAAAAAAATTTACATACGTGGCGTGGACAAAAGTATTTGGACGTCTATTTTGGGCAACTCGTGCCGGGTGTGATGAAAGCATCTTCACGCCACGTGGCCCACTTACGGCGTAAAAATACTTCAAAAAGAGTCGAACGGAAAACAATGTGGAGTGTTTGATGCTGACAATTGATGGCGGCAAAGAGACGAGGGCAAAAAGAGGGAGAGGGAGAGGTTGAGTTTGAGCACGGTGTCGGATTTTAGGGAATGAGCAGGTGAGAAAGAGGGAGAAGATCAACTTTTCCTCCTGTCACTTTTTTTTACCCCCGCTTGAAAGCGTCGCGGGAGATGAAACCGCCGCCTCAGGAAAGCGCCACTTCAAAAAGACCTTTCAGCAGTCTTCATCCGTCCGCTGTGAGTCAACAATTCTCTCCCGCCAACTCATTTTTCGGGGACCGACGGAACTTCGCATCGACCCTGTGGTGGACTTTTGAAAAAAATCACACATCTCCTTTATGTCACTCTCTCAAAAGTATGGATGGAAATGATGGGTTCGCTTCGGTCCCAGGTCGGGGTAGAGAGTCCACATTAGCGTTAGCTTTAGCGGTGAAAGCTACCGTTGCGGCTTTCAGCGTATAGAAGGTTTCGGGGTTGAGGTTTGGGTTAGTTTTAGCACACGGGCCCACGGCAGAAGTTCATTTTAGGGTTGGGTGTTTGGAGTTTGGGTTGTGGGGTCGGCTTCGACTTGGAGGGGTGTTTCAGTGGTGGGGCTTGATCCAAAGACCAAAAGGTGTACACTGAAGCCGAGGCTTGAAGGTTTGCCATCGTTTAAAGCCGTGTGAAAGCTGAAAATGAAGGCATGAAGTGATGCACGCGCGCGAGTTCATGCGCATGCGTGTGTCCAGACGTGCCGTCGAGGCGGGCGGGCCGAGAGCGCGTCGCCCGGGTTGAGGTCCTGTCTGACAGCGCGGCCGAGAGGACGGAAGCCTTCACGCCGTACCCGAAGCCCGACGACGACGTGGTGGCCGAGCCGCGGGCCGCCGACGCGACGGCGTACGTCCGGGAGGCCGACGTCACCTTCCCCTCCCGGCCTCACGTGCTCTCGCTGCTCCATTATGACCGCCCAGCCGCCGCCGGCCCGCAGCCGCCCGCCGGCTACCCCGTCATATGTGTCACCGTGAGTTCACACGGCGGGCGTGGAAGGAGTGCCTGCGTGCGTGCATGAGTGTATACTTTGTAAATGCAGGCCAAGAGCGAACTTGTGAGTGAGCTGGCGAGTGTGACCGAGCATAAGCGTGACTTAGTGCATGTCTGAGTGTGAGAGAGAGTGTGTGTGTGTGTGCGCGAGTGAGTCAGTGCGTAAGAAATTGCTGCTGCGCGTGTGTTGTGTGTGTCTGCCACCCCCCAGGGAGCAGAAATGAAGCAGTCTTGTCACTTTGAGTGTTTCCACCTGCAGGCCTCCGAGACTCTTCAAAGCTTCCCGGATCACGTTGGCAGCTTTTTAAATATAGACACACACACACACACACACACACACACACACAGAAAAAAAAGTATGGCAAAAATGCATCCCTCTTTTCCCATCCCGCCATTACAGTGTTGCCCCCCCCCCTTCCTCCAGCTGTATCAAGGTTCATCGTTTGTGCCCTTGCTATATCGTGGCTTTTCAAGCCAACGGAAAACGCCGGCACAAAGCGCAACCTTCACTGCGGCGTGACCCGGCGGTGGCCAGATGTTGTGAAGTTCTTCTGCCGCCATCTCGTTACGAGGTCTCTGAGGCGAACGGGCCCATTTTCAACCTCGGATCAACTGAGCGAAGGCCCTTTTGTTGAGAAACTGGCTGGGTCAAGATGCCACCCGACCTAGGCGTTTTTTTTTTTTTGTTTGCTGTCATTTGGACAATTTTTTTTTTTGGGAGACACAAACACTGCCCACTGAGCTTAATGCTAACCTATGATACGAAGCGTGTCAGTGTTGCGCAGCTTTTAGCGGCTGATATTTGAACACAAGCGGTGGCACAACACATGTAGACAGAAAAATTGAAATTCGCAGGCATTTATTCTTGATCCTCTGCAAAGAACAATTCATATTACTGCGGCTGACTCAGCAATTGTGACCGTCTCCTTCCTCCTTCCTCCCCCTATGACAGACTGATTTCAAAGTTGACCAAGAAGCACCTTTGCGTCCATTGAATTCAAGCAAAAAAATATTTAAAATTTGCCAAACTGTTTTCATTTCTCTCTATTCCACGCATTGTCATGACTGCAAGTTTTTGTTCCGTACAATATTATCAAGTGCTATTTTCCCAGGTTTTCCAGTCTCGTGAGCACATCCGGAACGTATTCCCCGCCATAAACTTCCTTTGACTGCAACCCGCAGGCCTGCAACGCGCGCCACCCGGACTACGAGAAAACGGGCTCCGCCTGCGTCAGCGAGCGCATCGACGACACCCTGACGCGCTACCGCTGGCTCGTCAGCGCCCCCGCCGGGCCTGCCGGCGTCGCCGCCCCCATGAGGGTGCTCGACTTGGATACCTTCTTCACCTCCTCCAAGGCCATCACGCTGGACTCGATCTACTTCCAAGCGGGCTCGCGTGTCCAGTGCGCCGCCCGGGCCGTCAACTCCAACGGCGACGAGGGCCCGGAGCTCAACAGTCCCATTGTCACCATCAGCCGGGAGGAAGGTCAGGCCAACATTTTGTTTGGGATTTTAGGCACATGGTGCAATTTTAGAAATTGGGTTTTGGCTAACGGGTTGGCGAGAGCGCTGGGTTTGCAAAATGATTTCTTTGCGAAACAGCCACATAACTTTGCTAGCCTAATTCTAACACAAAATAGTACAAACAAATAGCGATAGTGTCGCAATGTTATAACCCTCTAGGCAATGGATATTTGAACACAGATTTGACAACAACGCATTCTTTATCCTCTGCAAAGAATGACTAACATATTACTGCTGCTTCTTGTGGAGCGACCGTCTCTTAATGCATATTTGTACGTTTAGTTATGTCCTAATGGTATGCTTTTGGTTTGTTTTTTTGAAGTACAATATCATCTAAAATCACATTAGAACGTTTTGGGGCCAGCGGCAGGAATTGATTCTTGACCTTTCCATGCATTCCAATGGGTACGGATGATTTAAGATGCGCTTCCATGTGGTCAAGGTATGTGCCCGCCCCGCAAGGGGGCCACGGCGGGGGCCCAGCCTTTCTCAGCCAAGATGCGCTACACGGGCGCCGATGACCACCCACATTCCAACCTCATCAAAGTGAGCGTCACCATGCCGCACGTGGACGGTAGGTGGCGCCGCCTGTATGTCGTTCGGCCCGAGAGCATAATTGCGTGAGTCGTTTTGGGAAAAAATCCAGGAAACGAGACAAATTCTCTCATTTCAAACTTTGCACGTGAGCATCAACGAGGTGACTAATGATCAACACTGACACGATGTAAAAATACAATTTTTAGCGTTTGAGTTTTTTTTTTAAATACGGTTAACAAATATAAGTGCAGTGAAATGGCATGCGTGCTTGAGCAGGCATGCTCCCGCTGATTTCCACGCGACCCCTGAGCAACTTGGAGCGGACCCTGAGCCCGGACGGCAACCGGTGGGGCGACCACCGCTGCTCCAACCTGCTGGACTACGACGAGCCGACGGCGGCCTCTGACGGCCATCAGAGCGTGGCCGGCGGCGACGGCCTGCGCGGGCAGGCCACGCTGCGCTTCTACCGCAGCCTCCGGCCGGACGCCTGCCTGTGGGAGTTCAACGCCTTCTACCGCGTGTCCCAGCTGCTCAGCGACTGTGGCGGCACCATGGCCGCCGACGGACAGGTGACCGCCGCTTTCTTCCGCTGTTCTTTGAAATGATATTTTGATCGGGGCAAAAAAAAAAAAGAAATGTCACGGGTGCACCCGAGTCTCCGATCGCTGCCTTGCAGGTACTGCCGAGGAGTCAAAGTGTGGTTTTGTGTTCAGGTCCCGAACTTGGTGCAGTCATACGTGAGCGTGCGCGTGCCCCTCTACGTATCTTACGTCTTCCATTCGCCGCGAGGCGCGGGCGGCTGGAAGCACTTTGACCTCCGCTCCCAGCTGCACCTCACCTTCGTGTACGACACCGCCATCCTGTGGCGGGACGGCATCGGCAGCCATCCGCAGGCCCGGCTGCACGGTACCCCAAACGCCCAGTCCGGGCAACCGTATACGGGAAAAACTGGGCACTGGTTCACAACCGCATGCCTAGCGTAGTCGGACACGTGACAAGATGGTCTCGTAATTGTTTGAGAAGGAATGCGAGTAGCGCATAAGTGTCAGTGGTCGGCGCTTTCGGGTCACACCTCGTCTGTCTTGTTGTCGCGCAGGCTCGCTGTATCCCAGCAGCATGCGCCTCAGCCGGCATGGCCGCCTGGCGGTCAAGTTCCGCACCAAAGCTCGCTTCAGGGGCCTCTTTGTTCACTCGCGCTCTGCCGGACGCCTTCGAGGATCTGGTGAGACGCAGCGGTCGGCAGTCACTGGCAGGGCGCACACGGGCAAACGATGGCCCGGTCGCTAAAGAAAGAACGGAGCGGTCGCCAGTGATTGTCCCGTTGTCCCGTTTGCTTGGTCAGGGACGTCCACGGTGGTGAGCACGGACCACCCCGGCCGGACCTTCAACCTGAGCTTGGTGAGGAGCGAGCCCACTTTCGACCAGCCCGCACAGCAGTGGAGCTTCACCTCCGACTTTGTCGTAAGTACGAGCGACGCGCTGGCGGCCACTCCACGCGCTGACGACCCGCCATCGGTCGCAGGCCCGTGACTACTCGGGGACCTACGCCGTCCAGCTGGTCCCCTGCACCGCCGGCCAGAACACAGAGTACTCTGTGCCGCCCGTGTGCAGCCCCGGGGAAGCGGTCGCCTTCGATGTGGCCGTCCGATTGCAGCAAGTAAGGCCGATTGGAAAAGTTCGTCTTGCGTCGCTATGCTAAGCGTGAGCGTGTTGTGTTCAGGTGAGCGATCCTGTGGCTGTGGAGTTCAGTCTGAACGCAAACATGTTCCTGCTGTCCCAAAGAAGTGTGTGGCTCTCTGACGACTCCGTCAGCTTGGGCCAGGAAAGCGACGTCACCTTTTCGGAAGGTAAACAGACTTGCGGTGTGCCCCAAGGTTTCAATTTAGGTCCCACACTGTTCAACCTCCATCTTAGTGCACTGATATAATCAGAATAACATATCACACATTCACGATACATGTCAAGCTTCTCGGGTTGTCTTGCGTTTGACTCCGGTTACAATGTGATACGAATCGTGTCAATTTCGATGCCAGAAGAAGCGATTTGTGATATCTTCCCGGTACGATGTGATACGTTACGATGACAATGGACTTGGATTTGCTGCAAAACGATAACATTCACTCCAACAACATGATGGGATACAATTCCGACAATTCATTGCAAAAGTAGGATTTGAGACGATTCTCCCGCTAAGTATGAGACGATATGATTCACTTCCAATCTGTCGCCCCCCCGCAGGCGACACCGTATACGGTCGCGTGATGGTGGACCCGGTACAGAATCTCGGAGATTCTTTCATCTGCAGCATCGAGAAAGTTTTCCTGTGCACCGGAGCTGACGGCTACGTCCCCAAGTACAACCCCACCAACTTGGAATTTGGCTGCCTGGCCGATTCGCCGGCACTGCTCTATAGATTCAAAATCATTGTGAGGGAATTTCCTGGACTCTCTGCGAGCCTCGAAGTGTTTTTGATCATTTTCCTGTCCTGCAGGACAAAGACCAACCCGAGACCCAGGCGCGCCACTTCGGTGGTGTGGCTTTTAACGCCGTGCTGGCATTGGACGACCCGTCTGCCGCACGGCTCGTGAGGCAGCCCGGATCTGACGGCTTCAAACTGGACTCCGGGGCCATGTTTCAAGTACCACCAAAACCTACCTTATTTGCTCAAATACCTCACCCCCTCCCCATCCCCCCATCTTGAATATATTTTTTACTCTTTAATTTCATATTTGATTAATTGCGCAAATTTGTGTGTTTTGTTCAGGTGGCATCGGGGCGCGAGTGGTACATTCACACCATCTACACGGTGCGCTCAGAAGATGACGCAGACAAAGGCATCGAGAAACGCCGCCACGCCATCACGGGTGGCGACCGCCATCGTGTCCGAAGATCCCTACCGGCCCCCGTCCCCGAGGCGGCGGCGGGCATTGGCTCCGACGACACCCGCGGCACCAACATCATTCACGTCGCCTTGGATCGCTTCAAACAATCGTCGGCCACCTCTCGATCGTCCCCCGATGGGGCGGAGGCGGGCGAGCCGATGGGCGGCGAGAGGGTGGATGGTGCGGCGGTGGCCTTGTTAGGCGTGCTGCTCCTGGTACTGACCGGTGGCATCCTGACGCTGGCCTCACGCTCCGGAGCCAATTGCGACGTGGGGCGGGAGCGAGGGCGGCGGGACGACGTATGGGAAACCGTCAAAGGTTCGCTCAGCTCAGAGCCCATCTTGGTGGTCAGGATGCAGCGCTCCCATGACGGCTATGTGGTCTGACACCCATCAAAGGATACCAGAGAAGGATTTCATGTGTTCTCTGTTGCTTTTCAGTACATTTCTTTCATAGACTGACTTTTTTTTTTTTTTTAGGTGCATAGTGCTGTGATACGAGGGAGTATGTGGGCCACGCCCCAAAGGGAAAACCATAAAAATAGGTTTGTTTTTTTAAAGATAAATGTTACAGGTTTTAGGTCCGTATTCACGTGAAAAAAAGCTGTAATATTACAACACTCTCAGAAAAAAAACTTTAAAATAATTTTTTAAAAAACGATTAAAAACCATGAACGTAAAAAGTCAAGATTTCATCGGGGAAAAAGTTGAACTGCACATGTTTTATGAAAGAAAGTCCTCATCTCATGAAATCTTCTTTCAAGAAATGTTGAAAAACATGCGTTTCTATAAGCTTGTAACTGGTAATGTACGAAAATCCAACTTGCCTTTATATCTTGAAAACACAATACTTCTTGAAAAGAAAAAAAACTTGTCCTAAATATAGTTAATGTTCGCCAGTTCTGGAATTTTAAAATGGGCAGGACGGTTTGAAAAATCCCAGTATGCCACAAGGACTGCATTTATGACCAGGCGTGATCTCAAAAACAAATCACAGATTGGTTGTTACATTCAAGCTCTTATTTACGTTTTGTATCTCACATTTGAACGGAATTGTGTGCTTCTATTATTTATTTATCCATCACTATTTTCCAGTTGTCTATTTTCCCAGTGTGTATTTTCATCACGTCCTTGTCAGTGTGTCGACTTGGAAGTGTAAACACACCCACGATGAAGCTGCTGTCGGGTCACCACGAACATTTTCATCAGGTTTGTTGACATCTCAGTGTTGCGAACTCATTGGCTAATTACGGACAGGACTCCTCTGCATATACGGTATGTGTACGTCTTGTCACCCTCGCCCATACGAATGCAACCTATGCAATGTCGTGTACAGTCCGTGACCTCTTTGGCCACACACGCAGTCACAATCAATCTTGAGACTCACTTGGTGATTTTATGGATTTTTTTTTTAATGAAATGTATTTATTTGAATACATTTGGACACTTTGCTGGCAGGATGTTGTCATTGTGATCACGAAGTCGCAGTCAAAATAAATTGTAATGAAACAGTCTCCTCGCGAGCGTAGATTGTCTTGAGATATTTCTTTGTGATCTTGATTCTGAAGGCTACTTCTTCCTGTTGCGTACTTGGGCGCGCTTCCACCTCCGCTTGTGATTGGCCGAGCGGAGAGACCACGCCCCGGTCACGTTCCTGGTCACTACCGGCTTCCGGTTGTGTTTGCGTCCTGTTTTTGCTTGCCGTTCATCGCCCGGCCGCCTTGTCGCGAACCAGCCGACGACAAGATGGCCGCTTCCGCGTCGTCCGGCGACGACGTGAGGAAGGAGCTGACCTGCGCCATCTGCCTGGACTTCTTCAAGGACCCGGTCATCCTCAAGTGCGGACACAATTTCTGCCGCTTCTGCATCTGCATGCACTGGGACGAAAATGGCGGCGACTACGGCTACCAGTGCCCCCAGTGTCGAGCGGTAAACGTGTTTTGGGTTCTGGGTTTTCTTTTTTTTTTTTTTTTTGGCGTGTTGTAGTTGTTGTTCTGGCGCTGCGTTGTGGTAACATTCTGGGCGCTTTGGTTTTGTTTCCGTCTCGCGTAGTAGGAGCTAGCTGGCGCTCAAGTTAGCCTCTTCAAAGAAATCCTTTCCTTTGTGACAGGTTTCGTTTGATTTGGATTCATTTTTTTGTGCCCCCTCTCACTTAAGGAGGCCTTAATTCAAACCCTTCATTTGTGCACCAAACGGGACAGATCACGGGGAAAGTTGTAAGCGAACAGCCGATTGGTCACCAGGGAACATCACGACATCAAAGTCCGATTGACTTGTGACTAGTCAAAGACAGGACACATCTAGGCCAAAACAAAACAAAAAAAAAAACAACCGCACTGGTCAGTCAGTGCTAATGAAGGCTTAAACGGCGGACTGGCCGCCAGCCAATGGCAGGCACAGTGAGACAAACAGTGGACTGGTCGGCAATCATTATCAAGGCATGTAGTAGTCATACAGTACAGTATACTAGTCACCTATCAATATCCACACAGGTAATTGACAAACTATGGACTGGAGCGCCAGCCATCGTCTCGATACTCAAATGACTCCTACTTGTTTCACCCCTTATCAATTCTCCCTTCAGGTGTTCAACAAGAGGACGTTCACACAGAACTACCTGGTGCAGAATCTGGTGGCCAAGATGGACAGTCTGGATTGCTTAGGTTCGAGTCCGACCCCCGCCAAGCCGATCAAGGTGGACGGCAAGTGCGAGCTGCACGGCGAAGAGCTCAAGTTGTACTGCCAGGCGGACAAGAAGCCCATCTGCGTGGTGTGCCGCGAGTCACGCACGCACAGGTGACCTACGGCGTGTAAACACGCTCGGCGTGTTACCGAACCGCATTGAAGAGTATGTTGCCACGGGACGGGAAACGCCAGCCGACGTTTCACGACGGCATGCGACATGTTGACACGTAAACATGTCACGTGTTCATCATGTGATGCATGTAACGGGCATCCGAAAATGTCACCGCTACTCTTTTTGCCGTTACGGTGGCGCGTGAACCGTATCCGTGTTACTCAACACGTCACGTTGACCGCTGACGTCACCGAACACGCCGCTACCACATGTAGCAGCGTGATGCCGCTCCTTCGTACGTTGGCACGGAATGTGCCGCAACCGCCCGTGAACGTGTGACCCGACACGGTGCCTGGCATGTGACATGTATGTAAACGCGGGACTGAAACCTTGAGCGATCGTGAGATTCACGTGTGTCCTGTTTTTAAGGGCCGCCATGTTGCCTTTCAGATATCACGAGGTGGCTCCTGTCTCAGAGGTTGTCCATGAAATGAAGGTGAGTCTGTTTTTTTTAAGTTGCTTTTTTTGTTGTGTGGGTAGTTGGAGGTGATTTCAACTCAACTATTATTCGTGTGTGGGGTTGTGTGTGTTTGTGTGTGTGTGTGTGTGGGTTGGGGGCGGGGGGGGGGTGTTTCAGGTGGAGTTGAGACTGCGTCTGAGGCCGCTCAACAATTTCAAGTCGCAGTGCGTCAAAGTCATCACCGCCGACGAACGTACCAAAAACGACATCAGGGTACGCGGCGCAACGGCTCGTCGCCAAGCGGCTCCTCCGTATGCGGACGTTGCCAGAAAAGCAGCGGAGGAAACTCGTGTGCGTGCCTGCGCTTTCAGATGAAGAAGCAGCGTCTGAAGGAGAAGGTGGAGGCGGACGTGGGCGCGCTGGTTCAGTTCCTGCTGGACGAGCGAGACGCGCTCCTGGACAGCCTGGACGCCGAGGAGGCGGCGGCCGTGGCCGTGGTGGAAGACAACCTGGAGAGCGTCCGCGCCGAAGCGGCCGACGTGGCCAAGCGCATCACCGACATCAACCAGCACGTCAACGGCGACACCGGCTTCCAGGTCTTTTCTGACGTTCTGACTCCCGTCTGGGCAAATTCATCCCTTGATTGTCAACGCTGCCAAGTGATCCCCATTAAGATTTGTGTTCTGAAGAACATTTTGGGGCCCAAAGTATTGCTGGCTGGTAACTGCAGCCTTGGCCAGAAAACCGATACGTTGAAATCAGGTGTCAGTATCGGCCCGATACTGACACCTGGTATCGGTACTTGCCCATCCCTTATTTCAATGGAAAGGTTTTCAAAGATTATGCTGTTGGTCTTGGCTTTGACAATCTTCTCTCTACTTGACAATGTAAACACACGCAGTGTTGTATTTGAAACGCAAAATGTTTTTTGTGTCCATCAGAGCCTGGCCGAGACCTTCAACAAGTAAGTTTATCATTGCTCTCGTCCTCCCATTTCGCGGCGTTTCCTCGGAAACGATTTTGGACTCCCTCTAAAAAAGTCGCGTGCGTTTCTGTGCCAGCGCCTTGCGGGAGACGTACGGCGAGGTGAAGCCCGTCGACAGTCCCACCGAGTTCACCGACTTCTCGGGACCTTTCCAGCTCATCATGTGGAAGAAGATGATGCACGTGCTGCACACCAGTGAGTCGCCTTTCGCACCGCGACCAACAGAATTGGAAAATGCGGCCGGCAAGGGAGCGCCAACATATTTCTTCTTAAAAAAGGGGGCTGGGGGGGGGGGGGTCGCAACACGCAGAAGCGAATGTGTTCAGGTCAGAACTTAGGTCATTAACGGTGCCAATATCATTTTTTTTTTTTCCATTTGTCAGACAGCTCAACTGTGATGGCAAACATTTCAAAATTATTTTGGAGTCAGCAATCTAAAAATACTTGTAAAAAAACGTGCAGACCGCCGGCCAACGCCACCGTCTCATTAGCCAACAGCCACGTCACTCGCCAGGCCTGAAGGCGTGGCCAAAAATAGACCCGCATCTCATGTGCACCCCCCCCCCCTCCCTCCCCTGTACGTCCAGTGCCCCAGAACCTGACGCTGGACCCGGACACGGCGCACCCCAACCTCCTGATCTCGGACTTCGACACCAAGGTGGAGGAGCTGCGCGCCCGCAGCCAGGAGCCCGACCTGCCGGTGCGCTTCACGCGCTTCTGCGGCGTGCTGGCCACGGCGCAGTACTGCGGCGGGCAGCACTACTGGGAGGTGGACGTGCGCGACAAGGGCGTGTGGTACCTGGGCGTCACCACCGAGGGCAGCAACCGCAAGGGCTTCGTCAGCCTCACGCCCTCGGCCGGCTACTGGAGCCTGTGCCTGCAGGACCGGCTGTACGCCAACGGCGAGGACGGCCGCGTGCCCGTGGCTGACTACTGGAACTCGCCGCGCGTGGGCGTCTTCCTGGACTACGACCGCGGGCGCCTCAGCTTCTACGACGCCGTCACCATGAAGCGCCTCTACATGTTCGACACCTGCTTCATGGAGCCCGTCTACCCCTTCTTCAGCCCGGGCAAGAACGACCCGGGCAGCCGCCTCTGCATCTGCCACTACTACTGACCGCGGCGCGCGCGCGTGGCCGCCCGCCACCGCCGCCTTGGCCCAAAGGTGAGTCCCCTCCGCAAACGTGGACTCGCTATGGCTTTGTGGCCTTTCCAAACAACAAACGCCACTTTGGCGTCATCTTTCATGTGAAGCTGACTCGACGGGCTGCGCGTTCCCATGTAAAAAGTGAAATTCACGGTCTTGTGTTCTGTTTTTCCTGGATTTAGGCAACATTTCTTTTGATTCTGTGACATCACCCCCACCACCAGCAATGTCACGTGATCATTTTGTTGTCCGTTTTATTTTGTTTTGAATTTTCATGCACACATTTCCCATTCCAAAACAACTTTTTAAATAGTAAATTATTTCTCAAATGTAATCGTTCCTCAAGTACGTTTTTTTGACACCTGCAAAAATTCCCCTCAAAGTGGCGTGATCATTTTTACTTCAAACTGACTCGAGCTGAAGTCAAAAATGTTTTCTTTGTTTTATGATTAAAACATAACCGTGTACTTTTTCCCTTTTGATTTTATTCAAATAAACATTGTCACAATTATCTAGTTGCATGTATATTATTATTTTTTTGGGAACATAAAAATCCCCAATTTTTCCGTCTGTTCCCCCCCAAAAGCAACATTGGGTCGTCATGCTGGACCGCATTTTTCTAAATCACCTTTTTTCCTTTTCTTTTTTCCTTTTTTTTTTTTTTTTTTTCTTGTTTGAAATGTTGATTTTTACATTTCATGATTGCTGGCGATTTTCTGAACCGATCACGTTGCAAAGTAGCGATTGTCGCCTGATGGTCGTCAGAGTGACTCGCCTGACTGCACATGAATTCCAATGTTAACCAAAAAAAAAAAAAGAGCACGCCGCTCATCTTTGGTCAGGATGTCAGTGTGCTAAAAGAGCAAACCAGATCTCACATTGAGCAATCGGCGAAGCTGCAAATTGTCGTCATCTTTGTTGTTGTATGCGCAGCCGATAATATCGAGATTGTTGATCTCTTAAGTTAGTGTTCGTGACTTAAAGGAGACAGCAAAAAAAACTCTTGCTGGACTCAATTTGTATCGAGATGAGACTCGTTTTTCATATATACAATGAAACTTTATTTGTCCCGTTTGATGTCGGCTGCTGTTTCATTGACGCAGAAACACAAAAGAAACATGAATGAAACATTTACAGCAGGCAGATATTCCTCTCTGACATGATTCACAGTGTTGGTGCAAGAAATGTTTTGGCAGGAGCAGCTTGGGTATTTTGGCAAAATTGTAAAAAAAAAAAAAAAAAAAATGTTCCTTTAGATTCAAGCGCTTGATTTCCCCTCGTTAAGGTTTGAAGAGTGAGTCTGGAGGTTTTGACATTGAGCTTCGAGAACAGAAGAAGATGCCGCTTCCGTAAGACAAGCGCAAAAGAGACCAATTTGCTTTGGGTGGGTTCCCGCCGAAGCGTCGCGATGCTGAGTCGGCCGCTACTGCAGGTAGCGGTAGACCTTGAAGCAGTGGTTTCCTGAGTCGGCCACGGCCACGTTTCCGTCCGAAGTCAGCGCCAGACCTTGCGGGCCGTAAAGCGGGTCGCCCGACGTGTTGATGTAAGACAGGAAGGAGCCCGCGCTGTCGAAAACCTGACCGGCACAAACAACGACACGACGACAACACAAGTTGGCGTCGGAGCGAGCGCAATTTGCCGGCTAAATTCACGTTCCGTACTTGTAAGATGACGACTTGTGCTTCCCCCCAAGTACATGACAAAAATATTTTCGGACTTTTGATAAATTGATTTCAATGTAAATTGGAAAAAAATGGAAATGTAGTTAATGTAGCCACAAGGGGGCACAAGCCAGTGTCATTGACTCTTGGAGTTAGTTTTCTTTTTCCTTCCAGCAGAATGGATTTCTTTTCCACTTATATCACAGCTACTTCCCCCGCATCCAAAAGAAAATGGTTTTCCCATCATTCAATTTTCACACAAAAAGGACGAGTGACGCTCAAATTGTTGACTGATTTGCTGTCAAATGATTCCCCTGCCCCAATGTAAAAAAAAAAAAACAAAAAACTAAAGTCACCATTTCCTGTCATATTGCGATCATTTTTTTTCATATTTGACATTTCTGCCACGTGTTTGTTTTTGTATTTGGACACATAAAATTCTGACTTTGAAGTGACAACTTTTAGTTGTTTTACTCTGACTTTTTTCACATCAATTTGGATTTTTTGGTGTTTGGTTTTCACCCGTTTTTTTACATTCAATGACGTCTTTTGAATCCCTCAGACTTGAGTTGAAAATGACGACCATTAGGTCCGAAAAAAAAAGTGCACCGGCCCACTTTTTCTGCTCCTAGTCGGGCGCCTTTGGCTTTTGCTGACCTGTATCCTGCTGTTCCCCCAGTCGGCGACGATGATGTTGCCGTTGGCATCGACGGCGACGCCGGTAGGCGCGTTGAATTGCCCGTTGCCTTCGCCGTGACAGCCGAACTTGAAGAGGAACTCGCCATCGGCGCTGTACACCTGCGGGGGCCACAGGAGGAAGTAGAGCCGGCGGGGAAGGGGGCCGTCGCGGCCGCAGGTCGCCGCCGTACCTTGACCGAGTGGTTGTGGAAGTCGGTGACGACGATTTCGTTCTTGCCGTTGACGGCCACAAAGTGCGGACCTGCCGGGGGAGGGCGAGCACACGAAGCAGCTCAAGCCGAAGTTTGGGCGGGCTGCTCCCGTTTGGGTTCGATCAACGGCGGCGCCGCGCGCGGCGGCTTTCCACCAAGTGCCACGCTCAAAACGGAAAATGAAACAAAAATGTGTCAAGCATTTTTTTCCGACTTTTGCCCTATAATGAAGTTAAAAACAACTGATTGTGATTCCACCAGATTTTGAGTCATTTCTGATTTCAGCTTCGATTTTATGAAAATTGTTTTTCGCCTATAAAATGACAGAACGACTATAATTCAATGTGTACAAAGATCTAAAATATAACATTTCATTCAAAAGCAAAACTTAACAAAACGTCCTCATCACAAGACTGCGGCAAAGCTTTACTCTAAGCTCTCACTTTTGCTTGCCTAATCGATGCCCTCCCTCTCACTTCGAAATAACACGTAGATGCCACAAGGTGGCTCCAAAGCACTACTTTTATACCAGACGTTGCTTTGGGAAAAGTTTTCCGGGTAAAATTAAATTACTATTTCTTTTTCCCTCTCTGTGGAGTGCTTGGTGGAAACTTGCCGGACCGGTCATGCGCTCGCCTGGTGATTGACGACCACCCTCTAGTGGTTAGTTTGTAGCACGACACACTGATTATCACGTGGGACGGAAAGTGACGACGAGGAGGAAGGGGAAGTGCAAGTTTGACGACAAAAGTACTTACTGAACACCGAGCCTGACTTATTAACGTTTGGAAGCAGTTTATCTGCTGCGTGGGGAAAAAAAAGGCCAACAACACAAACACAAAAGAAAACAAAACATAAGGCAACCCAAGAAACAACGTGAGCATGTCGTGCGTTTTACATGGCGACTTTCCCGGGACGTAGTTTCTCCTCATAACGGCCCGCGCCATTATGTGACTTCAAATAGTAAAGTAAAAAGATTTCTCACGCGCTCCCCCGGTTTTAAACCCCGCAAAAACGTCATCAACGAACGCAAGCGCCCGTAGTACCTGATCACGTGACACTTTCTGCCCGACACGCACCGCCCCCAAACGAGGCTTCGTTTCTTTGGTCACGTGACTTTCCTCGCGTGACAAAAACGTCACTGGCACCCGCCTCGAAACTTTTACAATGCAAGCTCCTTCTGGAATCCTGACCCTCTTCCGTTCAAAGAATTAATGCCCTGTTCGTTCCATTGATGACGCTCACGTTTGCTCTCGTCCTGCCTTTAAGTATCGAGGGTGTGGCGGCGGCGGCAAGTAGGCATGCGTGCGTGACCTGCAAATTGTCTGTCGGCGACGCCGCGCCCTCCGAACTTGGTGACCAGCTTGCCGTTGGCCTGGAAAATGAAGACGCAGCAGGCTTTGTTGTCCACGGTGATGATGTGCCCGTTCTTGTCCACGGCCACGCCCTTCGGGCCCAGCAGACGGCCGGAGCCGATCTTGTTCTGCGCCGCCGCAAAAGCAAGCACATTTGGGCTTTTCTCACAAAACAAAGGGCAGTCTAACTCTGCGCACGGCAGCGTGTTCTTTCTTTTGGGATTTGCGTAGATGGGCGCGGTTGAAAATGGGTGTCTGCGCCACTGTGGGAATGAAAACGGCCTACATGATACCCTAAGCAAGGTAAACTAGACTTGCCCCGAAGATGTGGCCCAGCGCAAGTGGGCGTCATCTTGCGCGAGCACTCGTGTAACGGACGACGTTGGCCGCTTCACCTTGAACTTTCCGTCAGGGGAGAAGATGCTGACGCAGCGATTGTCGTAATCGGCCACCACGATGTCGCCGTTGGAGTCCACGTCGACGCCGGTCGGCCGCTGCAGTTGTCCCGGCGAGCGGCCGCGGACGCCAAAGCGCATCTTGAACTGGCCGTCGTTGGAGAAGATCTGCGCAGAGAAGCGTTTGGTGTTAGGAGGAGGAGGAGGAGAGGAAGGACGACGGTGAGCGAGGGCAACCTGGATACACTGATTGTTGCTGTCGGCCACCACCACTCGGCCATTGGCAGATGCCGAAATGCCTTGCAGGTTGGTGAACTCGCCTCGCTCGCGGCCGCGACATCCTGAACCAGGCCCAAAAATGCCAGCTCAATATTCACGCGTCATCGGGACACATCAAATGACAGTTTTCTTGTCTCATGGAAACGTTTGTCATCATTTGTTCCCGCAGTGTTGCCGCTTTTTCTCCAATTGGAACTTTCACCCCGGAATGTTCCGACTCATTCAAACTTTTTCACATACAAGACACTCTTTGTAAAAAGTTGTTTTTTTTTTTGTTTTTTTTTTTAATGTGTGTGTAAGGTTATCATTTGTATCCTTTTGAAAGGAAAGCGTTATTGTTGTGCAGAAATTAGGTTATTTTCCCACAAAAACTTGTTGTTGCAATTCTTTCTCATGCTATTGAAAAGGTTGCGACTTTTTCACATTGTCGGGCGATGCGACGACACACGCTACCCCGAGTGCAGGCGCCCGGGTGCCTGACCGACTCTGTAGATGAGCTCGTCGTCGATGGGGTTCTCCTTCTTCTTGGCGGCGGCGTGCATGCTGGAGGGCCGCCTGACCGCTTTCTGGCGGACGTGCCCGCCGGC